TTAAATGACAAAGAAATGTGTATTTTCTTATTTTTTTCCAAATAATCACCTATGAAATTATACTAAAACAATTATTCACCTCAGGCTCGGTGATTATCCTGAATAAAAACCTCGACTTCGTCTCGGTTTTTATTCACCGATAATCACCTCGCCTTCGGCGAATAATTGTTAAATAAAACAAGATTTCAATAATGCGATTGTTAACTGCTCTCCGAAACAACAATGTTCCACCAAATATAGCTCTGTAGCTTTTCAATCTTGCATACAGATAGCTTGTTGGGGGATCGGGTTGCATCCTCTTCAGAAATTTTTTAAAATGTAGACTCTCTAAACTGGTATTTTCGCATTAAAATCATCGTATATACAGTACGTTCAACTTGCATCCTGTAGATGGGTCTTTGAAGCTTTAACAGTTTGGAGCTATGTTATCAAAAAATGCACACAGACTCAACCATTCAAAAATACTTTTTCTACCATGCATATTAGATATGTATAAATAACTTGTACATATCTTAAGCCCAGATTTTCTCGGGGGGGGGGGGGCAACAATTGTGCCAGGGAACGCCACTGGCTATCGTATGTTAGAGGCTCCAAAGGCGGTAGAATCCCTGTGATGTTGTCCAGTCTTCTTTTAAGCAAATGTGCCTGCTCAAAAATGCACAATCTTGCAAGCCTGTGGACACAATACTGATTTGAAGAGCGTCAGTAGATTTACATGTAAGAATTATTTTTTGAGCGCTCTCTTTTGCATATTTTTTTTTCTCGATTGTATGCTGCATGATTTTTTTTCTTTCTCCTTGGGTTGCAGGAATTTTTTTTTCGAAATCTTCCCCCCCCCCCTCCCCTCAAAAGTCAAATGGTCCGCCCCTAAGTATTAACTATATTAATTTTGCAATGGATTTTACTCGTATTATATGAACAACGTTTCTTAGAACGCAAAGCAACAGATATAGGATAACAGAAAAATACGAAATAGTGCTTCTACCTCAGATAAATGTTCTATTTCACGTCTTGCAGTTATAACCTCTTCCTGCGTAAATTCACTCTCGCTCAAACTTGGTAATTCTAGTGAAAACAATGATGACATCATGATTATTAGATTACATTGATATCGATGGAACTGGACTCAGTTCTGAAATATCACATTCTCGAACCGACCTGATCGCGTAGCTCAGTTGGCAGAGCATTGGGCTAGTATTCCAGGGGTCGTAGGTTCGATTCCCACCGTGGTCAGGCATGTTTTTCAAGCTTGCCCGGTGTGGATACACACTCAGAGTAACATCACAAACATCAATGATGACATATTGAAACATTTAAATTTAGAGAATGTACCCACTCATGCAATCATCTACGAGAATTTCAGGTCAACATTGACTCCAAATTGAATTAATCGGTGCTCCAATCCGAATTCATTAGCAACTTCTAAAGAACTACCTCCGTAGACAACTTCGTGGCGAGTAGCGGTATTACGAAATATTTGCCAGAGCACCTCAGTAATAATGGGAAAGTAGCAGCAATTAACAACAACTTTTTATTTTCACATTTTCACCAATCATCCTTCACAATCTCCGTGAAATGAAAAATTTTGCTGTTTGCCAAGAAGCCGATACTATCAGTGAACATTCATACCTTCTCCTTTCGTGGGAGATAGCAATGTTTCTAATGACACACTGTGAAACGACGTGGCTGAAGTTGGTGTAGTTGGCTGAAATAAACGAATCATGTATGGTCATAATTATGTGAAATGTTCACCTTTTGTCGTTAAATAACTTAAACGTTTGAAGGAAACTAAAAAACCTGATAACTTAAGGAGATATGACAATAAAATTTGGTTTGTCTTATTTGGTAGAACTTTTCAAATGATAAATACAACTCCTAGTTACCGATTTTTCATATCTTGTTTAACCAAATAACAATTAGTAGATGCTTAAAATGTTGTCGGTCACCAGCCTAGACCTAGGCCTTTACTCGGCTGGCTTTGACAGGTTTGGTCAATTTCGGGGCTAGCACTTGGTAAGTATCTCTAGGTTCCAGTCTGCTCATGTGAAAAAGCGCTGAATATTAAAAAATAGTTTATAAGACGTGAGTTTACAACTCACAAATTAATAAAAATAGAAGACCTAGGTTTAGGCTGGTCGGTCACTTTGTTATTTGAACTGGTGACCGAAGTTTAATTTTGGACTCATAATGATCATTGCATATTTGGGTAAAATATTTGCGTGACCCCGTTTATGACGTAACAGGCTATGAGGACCTCAAAATGACATTTCGTCAAAACTTTTATCTTCAAGATTGGTTTAGAAACAAACTTGGAGTAGCGTTAGGTTAGGATTATAGTTGGGGTTAGAGTTGGTGTTTGGAATAGGGTTAGTGTTAGTAAAACCGTTGCTTTTTGTCACTCTGAGGCCAGCGAAATAACCTCTTCCGAGGCTAACAGCCATATCCACACAAATCAAAGATGGCGGACTTGTCACTGGTATTTGATGATTTCGGTCAAAATATTTCGAGAACTAAGCAAAATTTGAAGAAGCTGTAAAAAGTTGTTTTAAAAGTCCTTTCAAATGAGACAAACTAAATTTCTAAATCCCTTCTAAAATGCTTCCATCATGTCAAATCAAAATTGGAAGTACTTCCAAGAGACCTGTATATGTAGCATCTCGAGATCCTGAAGAACATTTTCTTCAGAAACAAGATGACGAACATTCTTTACCTGACTTGGAACATTAGCTTGCTCCAGTTCCGTGTTTTCCATTCCCTGTAATAGAAAATCGTTCCTCATATTACATATAAAGATCCGAGTGACTGCAGACAATACGCTTGGGATGCCCTGGATAGTATTTGTTGCTATCTGGCCAGATGCCAGGTGAGTCGGATAGTTTATTCGGAGAATCCGATCGGATACGAGAAATTGAATTGGGGTGTTCATCATGTTTTGATTAGGAGAGAAGGCTGCGATTGACAAGGCTGGATGCCATATGGGCGACGAGATATCCGGTGTTTCCCCCACAATGTGTATACCCTGACATTAAGTGATCATAAGATGGACTACTTGGCTTGAACATACCTCGCCTGCCTGTCTTTCTTCAGACCTCAAGTGTACAGTCTCTCCACCAAGGTTTAGTTTTAATGGCGGACTTTCCCTTGAACGTGACTTGTCTTTCGAAATTTGTTTTTGACGTTCTTTCTCAAGGTCATCAATTTCTATACGAAGTTTTTCTAACTTTGATTTATGTTCTTCTTCCATCTTTTGGATCTTGTCCTGAAAGCAATCGCGGAAAATACGAGCGTTACTTTATAGATCATTTGTAACAATGCAAATAGCCTCGACTGTATATTATTTAAAACCGGACATTTTTTCAATTTTTTTTCAAAATCCTTACTACGGAAATAGTATAGATTTTAGTTGGAATACTGTGGAAATCCAATGGTCAACTTGCACGTTAGACTAAATTTTAATTTAGGTAAAGAGAAGGGAATAAAACACAACAGTTAAAAAGAAAATAATGAAATTAGTAAAATTGCAAAATTTGGTTGCGAAATGTTGTAAAATGCAGAAAATATAGCCTTGCGAAGTTTGGCTCAAAAATGGTAACAATTTCCGCACGTAATATACAAACATACTGAAAATATGCAAACTTCGCAAGGCTATATTTTCTGTATTTTACAACATTTCGTAACCAAATTTTGCAATTTTACTGATTTTAATAAGTTCTTTACGGGAATTTACTTTTTTGGCCTAAATAAAAAATTAGTCTAACATGCAAGTTGTCTATTTCCATGCATAATATTGATTAATGAGTATTGAAATAGGGTGGATATACTGTGAACGGTCTGTACCAGTGTAGGTAGTGACGATAACAAGACAGCTGCGAATTAGCCATTTTCCCAAAAGAAATCACAGTGCATTCTGGGATCGTTTGGAGGGACAAAATATATGGTGACAGGCGTCAAATATCAACTTTTTAGACGACCGAAAATGAAGTACCTCCTTTTTAAACTTCTAATTTAAATGTGTGCTGCCATATTTCTTGTCCTTCCAACATGGGACTTGCGCGACTAGACCCAGGACTTTGGGAAATGGCTAATTGAGAGAGATTCAACCACCTGAAAAATAAATGCAGAACTTCGACTTTCATCGGGAAGTTGGCTGGCTACTAACTTCCTGACGAAAGGCCTTCGCTGGAAACGTTGAAATTCTGCTTTTATTTTTCACTCACTGAGCTAGTTGTATCTCTCTCAATCCGCAGCTTTCTGGATACACTGTGGACTTAGTCGTGTAAATATGATTTCCATGCTATGGATTTATGAATTGTACTACTTTTCCTGTGTAAGGCCACAAGAAAAAGATTTGGCAATTAAATTGGAAATTCTCCTCTTAGCAAGGTTTGAATGTCACGTCTCTTAAGTGGCATTTTCGTGGCCTAGCGCAAGGTGCTGATTGGCGGGGCTATAAACTGAAACCGTCAAAGGGAAAATCAACTGATATTGTATACATATTTTTCGTAGCATCCTCACAACACTGATCCCAACTCTTCTTGAGCAAAGTTATATTTTTAACTCTGGGAATTGTGCTCAAATTTGCATTTTGCGTTCATAGGAAGCATTAAAATCGGACTAATCCCAGCACGGGAACAAATGGAACCAGAGTAATCTGCTTCAATAGATCAATTTTACCTTGTATGTTTTTGCCAATGTTTCGTTCTTTACTGTCAGATGTTCAATCGTTTCTTTGTGTTGTTCAAGATTTGTTGTATACTCTTGTGATACTTTCTCGATTCTGAAAATACAATACATTAGTTCTAAATTGTTATCGTAGAGGTTTAGTTTACTGGTCTATAGTGTTGCTACAAAAGGAAACCGGATAAAGTGCCTGTGGAAACCTGTGGTGCTTGGTAAAGGAATACAATTAGAGTCTTCTCACATGCGACCGAGGCAAAATTATCATCATGCGTCTGTCCCTAAGCTACAGGGCCATTTTCCAGAGCATTACTGTGAAGTGCATTTATATACGGCAAATTCCTCTTCAAGTAAGCCCTCTACCTTATAACGCTTCCCGTTTTTAAAGGATTAAGCCTCTTTCCGTTAACAGCCCCCCTCCCGACAAAGAAACGCATGCGTACCGATTACACCAGTTCTTGGCCTGGACGTTTACGTCAGATTAGTGCGTCTTTACTTGTCTTTACTAACTACGTTTCTGCTAAATCAATAAGTCCCCTTCCCGCCAGCAGTTGAATGTGTTTGAAATAAATATCCCCAGGAGCTCAATAGAGGATTTATATACATTCATACCTATCTTTCCAGAATCGTTCCTTCTTTTCTGAATCCACGGAAAGTTGACTGTGTACAGTTGTTAATCTTTCATTCTCGTTCTCAAGGTCTTCATAATCGCTTTGTAAAGATCGAAGTTTCTCACTAGATAACAAAATCACAAATAAATACACAATTGTAAAAACAACCATCTTCTCGACTTCCAATGAGGAATTTTCTATAGATTGTAGCAGTTACCAGAGGAAGAAAATAATGTTGATTCTTTTCATTATATATCGTAATACAATTCTACAATCGCATTGGTCTTTTCAAAAACGCATTGATTATCCTGCAGTATAATTTATTCAAACAGCTCTAGTGCTTTAAAATTGTTTTGTCTTCAAATTACACCGGCAAACTTAAGAAAATACCGAGAGAAAAGTGAAGATTCACTTACGTCCTATACTTGCTGTGCTATATGTTTGCTGGACTCGCGGATATAGGAAGAATTATGCAAAAAATAAAGTCTTTAGGTGAACAAGTTAGCAAATTGTTCATTACTTCTCAAACAACAAATATTTAATTTTTCGCACAACTATATCGTATTCCAATAACTATCGTATCAAAATACCCAGAAATGGGTGTCATGTGACCAACCGATTCCAGGACCATTTTCGCCGATCTTCAGCCGTGGAGGAAAAATGCACTGGAGGTTGATATACAACGATAAGTGCCGCCGAGAGCGCGGGGGGCATTTTGCCTCAGGCCCCCAGCTGAAGTGGGGCCTCCAAATCGACTAAAGTCCTTTAAATTTTCTTGATACAAGATTACTTAACCTAGAATATAAATCCTAGCTTAGTCAGATAATATGCAACGAAGTGCAATATATTGTAAAACACCTCATCTTCTGTTTTACAATTATGACGTCATAGGGCTCCCTGGAAACGTTTTGCTCCAGGTTCAGCGCAACCTCTCGGCGGCCCTGGTAAGGATATACCTCGCGTAACATGGCTCTGCATCACTGCATGATAATGAAGGTTTTTATACAAACCTTGTCTCCTGAAGTTTTATTTTAAGCTGTAACACATTTTGTTGCAGTTGTGATCTGAAAATTATATTTGCAAAATTTTACTATAAAATCATTGAATTTAGAAAGGCGTACATTACTTGTGTCGCATGCAATCGTCTTCACAATCCTGGCAAAAAATAAAGGCCCGATCGTAGGTTAAAATTATGTGTTCACTTAGATGAAAACTAAAAAAATAACAGTCATAATATTTAAATTTGGGAGTTTTTATTCCCCCAGCCACGTACAATGATGAATCTTAAAACGCATTAGACAAGTTTTAAAACACTTTATATCATCATCATTAAAAAAAGCGAGCAGTTTTAGTCCAATACCTGTGTAGTCCATACCTATATTTCTTCCAGGATTGTATTTCTAAATTTAATAACAATGTGCTACAAGTATATACCGTCGCTTGCACCTAAGGATGAACGACGTTCGTAAAAACATTGCCTATTCGTGTGAGAATCTTCAATGTTTGTTGAGAGCACTTGACAGGTTTTAATCTGATCAGCCAATCACGTTCAACCAGCTCCAAGCTGATTGAAACCATCAAATACTCATCACAAACATTAAAATTTCTCGGTAAACACATTGAACTTTGTCATGAGAATAGACAATGTTTTATCTGCGACCGTTCATCCTTACTTACAAGTGACGGTAATACAATAATAAAAGTGAAGACAGTTCAACGCTTAAATTAATTTACCTTTCATCAGCTTCCATATTTGCTACTGGTGTTGATGGCTTTGCCTTTTGTTGCTTCAAAACACTATGCACTCTCGTCTGAAAGATTTTTAAATTGAAACGTTACGTGTTAATTTTCCTCAATTATTTGGTACAATATAAGCTTTTACCAGTGAAGCTATGCTAATACACCTGCACCAGAATAGTTTAAAGACAATAGATTTCTATAGGTTTAAATAATATGAATATTTAATATGGTTAGCTTCGCCACTACCTTTTACAGTACTTGCAGTCATATTTTCCCACATTGTGAAGAGTGTTAATAATATTTGCCATTAAAAAAAGTTGGGCAGATTAATGATTGGCTAATTGGAGGATTTACATGCAGTATATGTAAATTCATGTCTTCAATACCTTGTAGTTTTCGTATTCACTTTGCAGGGCGTCTTTTGCTTGTTTCAGCGCCTCACATTCGCTTTTCACGCGATTCAGCTTTGCATCAAGATTTTCCAAATTTATTTTATTGTTTTCAATAACAGAATGAAGCTATAATATATCCATTATCACAATTAATAGGTTGTACTACTAATGGTAGCTTCCCTTGAACAGTTTACATGTGAAGAAGATATAAATATTTTACCTGTTGTTCAAGCGTTTGCTTTTCCGCATGAATCACTGACAGCTGGACCTAACATGAAACACAAACATCACTTTATATATCGTTTTGTCATTGTTACCATGTCGCTACGGTTAAGTGCATGAAATTAGGAACAAAATGGAACTAGCCTGATCATAATTGCACAAGATAGCACGTCTTAAGGCCTAATTCCATGACGAGCGAAATGCTAAAACTTTCGCGTGAAAACACACTTGTGCGAAACTTTTCTCTCGTAGTGATTTCCACAGTAAAGAAAAAATTCGCCAAAACACAAGCGTTTGATTGGTTTCGCTATTTTGTCATCCAAAACAGAAGCATTTGATTGGCTTCGCTATTTCCATTTCGCAACGGAATAGAAACAAATTCAACTACCTGGTGAAGATTCCAAAATCATGTTGCGCGTGCGTTCAACCTTTTCGCGCGAAATTTTTCGCATTCCGCTTGTCGTGGAATTAGGCCTTTATCACGATATCTGTGTTGTTGGCAGTTCCCAGAAACCAATTAAGATGTCGATTGAATATAGCACTTTGCAATACACTACCCCACCCCAGCATATCACTAAGCAGTGTAAGCACAACAATTGTGCCATCCTGTCAGGATTCATTGATCGGAATTTTTCATTGCCTTTTCATTGTTTTGAAAATTCTATTGTTCTCCATCCATTGAGTTATCCATCGCTCGTTGTTTTGACGTGTAATTTGCATTTGACATGCAGTGAAAAGAAAAATACAATATTTATTTGGTACCTTAATGTTTTCGTTCTCATGTGTCTTTGTTTCAAGTTCTTCCTGGATATTTTTCTGAACTATCTGAGATTCGTTTTCCTAAAATTTGAGTAAAACAACAATTTTTGAATTACCACAGTAACACATCTTTGAATTGCTACAGTAAACACAAAATGTAGCTATAGTACAACACGTCCTTTAAGGTTCTTACCAAAGAATCAAGTTGCTGCTTCTGGTATGCAATATAGCCTCCTCCGCAGGCAACTGTTTTGCCAAAAACTGGAATTACCCAGGTAAACTGGCTAGCTGGGACCAGTATATTTGTTACTTGTTTTGTTTTGGTTTGTGGAAAGCATTCAATAATGCAAAGCATTCGATCGGTAAGCCCGGACCTTCATAAGTGCAAATAATATAAACCAAAACAAATAGTGTATTACGCCATGGCAACTTAAAAGAACATATAACGAGGTAATTGTTGTTTGTCTGATATTAAATACTTGTTTCTCCGCAAGTGACAATATTACTCTACGTTTCTCTAGTTTTCTGGACATTCATGGCAGGTATATTTTTTCATAAAACAAAATATACGAGGATGAACAATCATATAAAGAATACTAATGAAGATGAGTTTTATCAGATATAAAGTAACTCCACGTGACATATTAAGGCTGAAATGATCTGCCACAAGGTT